CCACTGCGCCGTTAAGGGTATACACAATGGATTCAGACGAACGTCATGTTAATCTGTACGCACCGCCATCTATTGAATTGTTATCAATTTTTAACTTTTTAACTTTTTTTGACTTTTTTGTTGTTGTTTTTTTCGTCTAGGAACACTCCCCGGGTATAGGAAATCGCCCTCTAAAAATTGCATCCAGATCGCTTGGGCGGTTTGGCCGGGCATAGTGGACATACATACATACATACATACATACATACATACATACATACATACATACATACATACATACATACATACATACATACATACATACATACATACTACATACAATACCTACAATACATAATCATACATACATACATAATACATACATAGCATACCTACATACAGTTACATACATAACATACACTACATACAGTACCATGACCATACATACATAACTATACATACATATCATACGACTACATATACATACATACATACAGTTAACATACATACATACATACCTAATACATACATACATGACATACATAAGCAGTACATACATACAGTACATACTATACATACATACATACATAACATCATACATACATACATCATACATACCATACATAAGCAGTACATACATACATACATACAACATTACATAGCATACATACATACATACATTACATACATACATACATACCATACATACATACATTACATAACATACATACAACATACATATCATACATACATACATACATAAATACATACATACATACATAGCATACATACATAAAAACATACATACATACAATACATACCATACATAACATACATAGCATACAAAACTATACATACATACATCACATCCATACATACATACATACACTATCAGTACATACATACATACACTACATAGCATACCTACATACCTACATACATACTATACATGAATTACATCACATAACATACATACATACTATACATTACATACATATCATACATACATACATACATACATAGCATACATACATACGATACATACATACATACATACAATACATAGCATACTACATACAGATACATACATACATACATACACTAATACATACATACGATACATACGATACATAGCATACATACATACACATACATAACATACATACATACATAGCATACATAACATACATACATAGCATAGCATACATGACATACATATCATACATACATACATACAATACATACATACATAGCATACTATACATACATAACATACATAACATAGCATACATACATACATACATACAATACATACATACATACATACATACCATACATACCATTACATACAGTACATACATTACATACATACTACCATACATACATACATACATAATAACATACAACATAATACATACATACATACATACATACATACATACATACATACATACAATACATCACATACATACATACATTACATACATACATACATCACATACATAACATAACCTAACATACATATCATACATACATACATACCTACATACATACAATACATACATACATAACATCACATACATATAAATAGCATACATACATAACATACATACATGACATACATACATACATACATACATACATAGCATAGCATACATACATACCATACATACATGATCATACATGACATACATACATACATACACATAAACATACATACATACATACATACCATACACTACATACATACCATACCATACATACATAGCCATACAAGTACATACCATACCCCATACATACATACATAAACATACATACACTACATACATACATACCATACATACATACATACATAATACATACATTACATACATACATACATACATACTACAGTAAACATACATACATACATAACAATACATACATACATACATACATACATACATACATACATGCATACATACATACATACATACATACATACATACATACCATAGCCAACATACAGATACATACATACATACATACAACATAACATACATACATTACATCATACATACATACATTCAGCATACATACATACATACAATACAATACAATACATACCATACATATCATACATACTATACATACATAGCATACATACACTACATACAATACATACATACATACATAACATAAACATACATACATACATACATTACATACATAGCATACCATACATAGCATACATACGATACATACATACATACATACATAACATGACATTACAGTAGCGATACAGTACATAACATGACATAGCATGACCATACATCCTACATACATACATACCATACATACATACTATACATACATTACATACTAATACATGACATACATACGATACGATACCATATCATAAATACATCATAGCATACATACATACATACATGACTACATACATACATCACATACAATACATACATACATACATACATAGCATACAACTACATACATACATATCATACATACATACATACATACCATACATACAGTACATCATCACATACATACTACATTACATACATACATACATACAGTACAGTACATGACATACATACATACATACATACACCTACATACATACATCTTCATACATACATACATAATACATACCTACATACATATACATACATACATTAATACACATACAAACATACATAAATCTCCACTACATACATACATACATACGATACATATCATACATACATACCATACATACCATACAATACATCTACAGACATAGCATACATACATACATACTCCCATACATACATACTACATACATACATCTTACATACATACTCTACATACATACATACATACATCAGCCCAATCTATACTACATACAACATCAATACAACATACATACTACATACGTACATACATCTACATACACATACATAATACATACCTCACATACATACCTACATACTACTCATCTACATACAACTCATCATCATCACATGCATCACATACATAGCATACATCACATAACATACATGACAATACATACATCATACATACAATACATACAGTAACAGTACATACATCACATACGATACATACATACATACATAGCATAGCATACATACCATACATCCATACATACATACATAGCATACACTACATACTACTATCATCACTATCATAACATACAATACATACATACATACCATACTCACATCTAATACATACATCATACATACTACTACATACATACAATACTACATGCTACTCATACCTACATCTCTCATACATACTACATTCTACCTAACAATACATACATACAATACATACTACATACTACATACATACATACAACAAATACATACATAAATACATACATACATACATATCATACATACATCACATCCATACATACATACATACATGACATAGCATACATGACATACCATACATACATACATACATCACAATACATACTCTACTAGCACATACTAATACATACATACATACATACATACATCATACATACATTACTACATACATACATATCTACATACATACATTCTCTCAGTACTCATACATACTACATACATACAATACAGTACATAAACATACATACATACATACATACATACATCTACATACATACACTACAATACATACATCTACTACCAATACAATCATACATATACATACATACATACATACATACATCTAATACTCAACTATACATACATAACATACGATACATAGCATACATACATACATACATACATAGCATAATAGCATACATCCATACATACATAGCACTCTACATACATCACATACATAACATACTATACATACATACATGACATACATACATACATACATACATAGCATACACTACATACATACATACATACATAACATACATCATACATCATAACATAACATACATACACCACACACACAAACCACACACACAGCACACACACCACACACACAAACAGCACACACACACACACACCACACACACACAAAACACAGCGACAACACTCACAAACACACACACACACACACACATACAAACACACACACACACACCACACACACCACCACACACAACATACACACACAACACACACCACACACAGCACACACAACACACACATTACACACACCACACACACACCACACACCACACACAACATACACACACAACACACACACACACACACACACACACACACCCACCACACACAACACCACACACAACAAACGACACACACACCACACAAACACAACACACACCACATACACACACACCCAACATACATACATACATACATACATACATACACACACACATGCCCTGACCGAGACCTGCTCTACTCACGGTCAACCTTTGTTAGAGCGGGTGTATTGTAATGACTAAAAGATTGTCGTAGCACAACCATCTATAATTACCTCTGCATCACTCTACTGGCCTTCAATCAACCATGAATCTCTTTATCTGTATAAACTAGAACCCTTTAACATTAATAATGCACACGCGTTAATGATCTGCTAATGGAGAGGATCGTTATTAGGAATGTGTGATACGGCGAAGCTGCAACGCTCCTCGCTTGTTAAGAAGCACATCTCTGTTCCCGGCTTTCCTAACGAACCCAGGACTAATGCATAGAGGTTGGTTATCTTTATTACTCATATTATTTCTAAAATCGATAGTAGGGAACAATGAAGCAAGGTGAACGCAAGAAAGCACGAACGTATGTACGCACGCACTAATAGAAATTGTTATAAATCGAGGAGCACGTGCGCATTTTGAAAGACTATAGCGTGTGCGCGAATCCAGTTTTCTTATGTCTAAATACGCACCGTAGAAATTACGGTGGATTATACCATACTTCACAATCAACTCCTATACTCCTCATTTCATAACAAATACGTCTCGACACTGCTGTGACAATCATGTAGCGCCTACCCTACTATCGAAGGCAAATATGGAATGTATATAGCGAATTACTTACCCATGATTATGAGGTGTGTAAGCAGGTGATTATGAGGTAATTAGTATAGCAGGTCCACCGCCTACATATAACCCATGTAACACAACTGCAAGTGATCCTAGTCGATGCGAAACGGTTCGAAGCGAAAATACGGAGTCGAACGGAATCGCAGCGGAAAGCTACGATGTATGCTAGCTTCTTCTCGCGAGTATACGAGCTATCTGTGGCGGACGTGCAGATGTCAATCTCTCGAAGCGCGGGAGAATTCACGACACGTCACGCCGGCGTGCACAAAGCGTGTGAGCGAGGCGCAACGGGAAAGCTCAGTGACAACTTAGAGCCAGAATAATTTTTTGCGTACTGCGTTTGACAGCTACTGGCTGCATGGCTACGCATCGAGCGCTGCAAACTTTCCAGCTCAGTGCGCGTGGTCGAAGAGGTATAGACTACATACCTGGCGCCCGTGAGCCGCTACGACTGGATAGTTACGACGGGGCGGTGTTCTACAGCGGGAGCGGGAACAGGGCCTAGGCGGAGCAGGAATGCCGAGACAAGAATGAGGACATAAATGGTAGATCGAAGAATTTAGAAGCGGCTAGTGTCTTAGTTATGAGGTGGAGAATGAAATGGCATGCCATCGATGTGTTGCTTGAACCTTGGCTGCTATTCCAGACAGTTTTGCTGAGAGGTATACGCACCCAGTTCGTCCCATTAAAGAAATTATTTAGCATACGTTCACACGATGTCGGCCGCCCCTCGGTGACGTCCTGCATAAATTTGGTGCGTCTCTCGTTTTCTCTCTCTCTCTCTCTCTCTCTCTCTCTCTGCTCCTCTGCTCTCGTCTCTCTCTCGTCTCTCTCTCTCCTCTCTCTCTATCTCTCTCTCTCTATATAATATATATATATCTATATACATATAGTATTCTCACATATCAATGTTCATCTCTCCCCAGCTATTTGCGGGTTTCTAATCGCACTTATGATACGGCGTAGGGTTCTCGGTCGATCCGTTGTGCGCGACTCCAAAAACTGCGTAGGCAAGCATAGTCGTGAATTGGACATATCGTGGACAGCTGTCACTGCCGTCAGTCCGCCATGAATATCTGTGTGCCATGGAAGGAGAAAGGGATTGACATGCCTGATGGACTCTATGACGATACGGATGTGCTAAATTATTCATGAGAAAGGCAATTGAAGTGTAACGCAAGCCTAACATTAGAAGCGCCACGACAAGAACAGGAGCGGAAAACCTACAACAATATAAAATATCAGCTATTCCGGGAAAATTGACAGGGGAATTCTGTTGCCGAAGACACTCAGCTGCATCATAAGCACATGCGGCAAACTTACGAGAAGTGTATGCTCCTCTGACATCTAGGAGCAAGAAAGG